GTTTCTAAATTTAAATAGGACAATTTTCTAGCAAAAGTTTTCTAAAATGAAAAAGTTCACTAAATGAATATTATTTACGACTGGCGAAGAAGTACAGTTTGTATACCAGGGCTAATAAAGATTTAAGTCGAGATTTAATTAAAACTTGTTTATTTCCCATAGTGAAAAGTGCTTTAAAATTAGTAACAACATCTGTTAAACGAAAGATTGTTGGCTATAAAAACTATTTCATTCTAAATTGGACTTCATTGTCGTAAAATTTTTTTAGCTAAGACTTTTTAATTTCAAAAAAAAAAAGTTTACCGTAATAAAAGAAAATCTTTGAAAAAGCAGTGCAAAGTATCGTCATTTCTGACAAAGAATTTTTTAACTCTTAATACAGCTATACGTTAACAACTGACGCATCGGAGGGATTGAATTTTAAAATAAGTGCTTTCCGGTATAACCCTACATATTTCTGAGCGTCAGAAACAACGCTGAGATAGTGGAAATAAATAATAGGTCTATTTAAATAAGACGGCAGTTTTCCTATTCGGTGAACACTTTTAAAGCTGGGTTGTAAAAATATTTAAGGTAAAGGAGAAAAGGTTCAGCTCCTTACTTGTGAAATTGTAATAATGCTCCTTTTTGTTAAATAGAGACTTTTCTTTAATTCTAAAAAGTATTAATACTGTATACATAGTATAACAAAATATATATAATTGGCAATTATAATAGTAAACGTACTAGTTGAAAATAATCTTTATTTTATAAATATAACGAAAACTATATATATAAGTAAACGCAAGTAAGTTGTGGCTAAAAGTATATTAACGACACAATATAATATAAGTAAATATAATAAGAGTAAAGTAAATATCTCAAAAGAAAGGCCAAAAAACTTCTTCCATTGAAATGGATTGTTTATAAAAAGTTCAAGTTGCAATACATCGAGCAGCCGTCATATTATTTTCGATATTTTTCAAAATACCAATTTTCTTTGAGGTAACGGTATCAATACTTAGAAGAATAACTTTAATTCTGACTGTTATGGTAAAAAAACTTCTTTAACCGCAATTGCATTGTATTAAAAGGGTTCATTAAGCAGTTTGTTGAGCGACTGTCTTATTTAAAATTTTTCTCAAAATACTGCTTTTTTTTTTTTGAAGTGCTGTTACAATAATCAGAAAAATTAAGTTGGGGTACGGCATGAGATAGACTAAAAACTAACATTTTTTTTTTCAGATTTTTTTATTCCAGTTTTAAACTCCTCTTTTATCGAAACCTACAGCTCCTCGTAAGGATGGCCATGCAATACAGTTATGCATAATAGAAGCTTCGGTTTTCTATTCATTATACACAATACTTCCTTTTAAAAGTCGCCCTACTAATTCAATTTCCAAGAAAAGGTAAATCAATAAATTCGTTAATAATTCTTAGTTATTTTCCTTCCAGCGATAAAAGGTGATAATGTTCCTTAATCAAAAAAATAATAATAGCACGCCATATTCACACCTTAAAAGTGTTATCTAATCTAATAATACATTGACTAAACAACCTCAAAAAATCAATAAAAGAAACACATGAGCGAGAGGTTGAAGCAAAAATTAATAACCCTACAAAAGTTACTTGGTACAATTACCATAAATGAACCAAGTTTACTACTGTTTAAACAAATAAGGAAGGAGTCTACCAGGTATTTTTATATATGCTTGGGTTTTGCAGGAATATGCGCGCTTTTTGTGTATCACTACGGATTAATACTACGGTGGTATCACCTTATTGCAAGCTGCACACCTGGTTTCTCCCTTTCTTGTTTTCTAAAGCAATTGTAGAATTGTTTTAAAAACCTGGAACTTCTTCTTAAAGCTACGCGAGTGGGTGTCTTAACTAACAATTAAACTTTTGCTTTTACACCCGTACGCCATTAAGAAGAGGCTGATACCTTGAATATTATTGCTTTAGGGAAAGTTTACAGAGCCATTACAAAAACTCTTTTGCTAGCTTTATGTACGTAGAAGCGTGAATTGAGTATTATAATAACCAACAAGAAACGGTTGTTGGCTGTAAAGAGTTTATAAATCGGAAGAATTGAAGGAAAAGCTTAGATTAAAAAAAGGATACCAAGACCCTTGGTAACTTGAAATTTTGAAGCCTTTACTTGCCAATGATAAACTTTATGAATTGAGACCTTTTGAAATTTGGTTTCAATTTAACGCCTTAAAATTGACCATAAATAACAGCGGTATGACCAGCATCAACGTTATATAAACAAGTGTCCCCCTACGACCAAACTTAAGAAATTTATAATGATGCGTAACCCAGGCTCCTTGTAAGGAATATGGTAAAAAGTTAAAAGTCACTACTTACTGTTTTGTCGAAGTACAAAAAGCCTATCTGTTGGAATGAGCACGGTTGTTGAAAAGGTGGGAGGACTCCTTTTGAGAATTGCTAAGATCGTGGCCTTGATCCGTCGGGAAGTTGAAAAAAGGGATAAAGAAGTATACTTTATGGAAGTTATAAAAGACGTTAATATAATTATAGTCGTAATAGTAAATATAGTAATGCTAGTAGAAGAAAAGTAGTACAGTTACGGTAAAGGTAGTAGTGGAGGTAGCACTAGTGATTTGCAGAAGCGAAAAGCAGTTGTAGCAAGTATTAAAGGTGTGGAGAAAGTAGCCTGTCCTTAAGTAAAGGTGATGTGTATAGCGATTTATTTGTCGTTCCCCTAGCAAGTTTATGCTAGATAAATGCGCAGAAAGGAGTTTTGTCAAGAAATTTCTGGGTGGAAGTCCGGATTGGAAAGCTCCTTTAAGCATGAAATTCGGGTGCTTGAATGTTTACGAAAGAGTATTTATCGTAACTATATTAATGTTTTTGTTGAGAGTTACATAATTAAACGAAGAAAGCGGACATGTTATCTGGAAGACCCCTTTACAAAATATTTATTTTTAACTTTAAGGAGCTCTACCAACTTGATAAGTTAAGAAGTGCAGCCTTATGGAATGAAGTTTAGGAAAGGAATAGAAGAGCAGATACTTGTTTTTAAGTTTGATGATAATAATAGGGTAGTAGAGGACATAACCATGAGAGATAGAGGAACAGAGTACAAGTAATTGCGGAGTCAGAACTCTTGTAGAATACTCTACAGTTTTTTTACAGTGCACTTAAAATTAAAGTTAACTTAATTTGGAAACTGTTCCCGTTTGTGCAGTTCGAGAACTTCGTATTAGGAAGGAATATAATGCCTTTTTTAAGGCAGAATCTTAGAAGGAGCCTATCACAGATATTTAGAAAGGAGAAGAATAAGAAAGCTTACATCTATTGTACGTAATACACATTGATATACGGGTAACAAAGCCCACTATTTGGACGTTATTTTCCATAATAGAATTTGACGTCTGTCTATCTTTTATAATATCTAACGTATGGAGAAGACTTCTGAACTTCACATATAAAGTAAACTGAGTGAAAAGTGAATAGAACTAGAGCTGTGGGATTACCCTTAGGTATCTTGTTTTATTGTCAATATACTATATCTTTGAAAGAAAAAAAGTTATTTTGCAAAACCTATAATAGCGACATTTTTATTAAATTATTGTGCACCATATAGATCTCTTACATGAATGCTAATGAATAAAAGCTTTAAAATCCTTGCCACCTAGAAAAAGGCTATTTAGCATAGGTCAAAGGGATTTAGAATTTTTTATAAATAGAGGAAAGCGCTTAGAGGCCCGAGTTTAAAGTGTATTCATCTAGCAGGAGCTGACACGGAACTTTTACAAAACGCCACAGTAGATCTAAATGTTTTTTTATGACCTTCAAGTACTTTTGGAATAGCACTAAAATAACTAAGTGATGTATTCTAAACTGACTCTAAGGAAGTTAAGTCTATATCACTCTTAGACTGAAACTTCATGGCCTAAGTAAATAGACATGCAGAACTTTTAATACTTTAAGTAGTGTAATAAAAAGTTTTATCTTTATCCGTAATTTATCGACAGAAGATGTGATTTATTACCGTAGCTCAGTGGTTAGAGCATTATCGCGCAAAACCCAAGGTCGCGGTTCCAATTTCTGTTTGCGCCAACTCGCATTTTTCTGATCTGGTGATTACGTCGACAAACAAAATCCTGGTATACGCGACAATGTTCTAACCACTAAACTACGTTGACAACTCACATCTTCGGTAGATAGATTACGTATATAACTTTTGTTATTTTATCCCATCTTCCTCTATGAAACGATAGTATACTTACCGAAATTAAAAAAATTTAAAACATAATATTTAACAAAGTTAAAATATTTATAACAAACGAAGGTTAGTAAACCTCCTAGAAGTTTATTTCGAACTCCATATTTTAGTACCAAAAAATTTAATATTCGCCTCTACAAAGGAAACCATAACTGAGCCGGGGTTTCTTAAAATTTATTTTATTAAAAATAAAGTACAACCCCTCTTACTTAATGGTCGTAATCCGTCCAACAGTGAAAAGGTCATAAATCCTGTTTTAAGCTTTGAACCCATACTAATTCTGTTTTTTGCGTTGCTCCGTAAGGAGCTCTGAGAGCGCTTTCTTTGCAGCGTTCGTTGGTCATCTTGTTTTCGGTTTGCATAGGCTGTTTTGATTTTAAAAAAGAATGTATCATTATTAATATATAATAGATTTCTTATTCTTTTGTATTATAAGGCTTCTTCTTTTGTCTTGTCTTCATCATATTGCATGTTGAGTTGGTGAAGTGTGTGGTACGTGCTGACATGGCCATTAATCTATAGTTTTCGTTCGATGTATTGTCGACTTCACTTTAGTTAAATGAGTGAATGTTCTCAAAAATATTTTATCCTCAATTTTATGATCCTTTCAGTTTTCGTATATAAATTTTTTATTCGTATGCTAGACACGAAGCTGGCATTAACTGCATTTTTTTCTTAATTTTTTTATCTTGAAGGTTATCTTTTTGTTTTTATAGCTATCTCCTTTGGTGCTGCAATAGATAAGTTTTGTGTTTAATGTATATATTTACTCCCTAAAATCAGGTTTTGTCGTTAAAATTAGAAGTTTTTTCAAATTACTGCGTTTGTCAATGTTACATCCCAAAACTGGGTACATTGATTTAGTAAAACTTTTACAATATAGGAAAATAAACTTTATTATTTGCTAGCATCTACCTAATCCCAACTGGAAAGAGATCAATATGACCTTAAAACCGCTGTGGAAGATTTTAAATAAAAGAAATGTGTAAGCTAAATGACAAAAAAAAATTCTTAAAAATATTTATTGGAAAATTATTGGTATAATATAGTTTTATTGATGCGTTTGTTCATAGGAAATGATAACTATATTTCGTATGACAGCCCAGTTGTTCAAATAAGATCTAAACCAATTGAGGGAGCGGTAATGATGCTGCGGTACAAAATTATGCAAACGGCCATAAATTCACCATTCTTTTTTAGCTAGGGGTTTATTAAGAATTTGGAGGGCTTACTTAGAAGCACCATATAGCTCAAAGGGACAGTCTGGGTCTTCCAATAAAGTCTAAATCTATTAAGGAGGTTAAAATATGCAATACAATACTTTGTAAAGTCATAACTTTACCTTTAAGAGGTAAGTTTTTTCTATTTTTAAAGTACCATAAAACTCCAAAGGAAAGCACTTTTTCTCAATCTTATGCTTCACTATATAAGTAGTGGTTATTACTATATATTTACATTAGAAGTGCTTACGCTTTTAGCGGTAAGTTTATTTTCTTGTATAGCAACTTATGCATCAATTTAGAGTAGAGTTTGCTTTCTTTACTTTTATTTTCTAAGTGCATTTACTTTCAGTTTAGACCCTCTTTATACAATAAGCCAATGAACAGTAAAATAGATACGTTTGCTTTGCTTTTAAATAATTGCGCATTTAACATCTAATCTGCGTAGTCCGCTTATCTTGATATGCTTCTTATATTTTTTAAAAAATACTACAAGGTTATTTGCATTATTTGCTTCCATAGTTTTGTGTTCTGGTTTACTTTGGTATACCTTTTGAACTCGTTGAGGCATGCCTACTGCTAACATATTTGTTTTCCACGCTAGCCTCCTTTTTTCTTTTCTAGCCCTGGCTGGAAGTGTCTTTTGTCTTTTCCTCTCTTTTGCTAAGGCATGTACTTGGTTCTTATACTGTTTTTGTTACATTTTTGTTAGTTATGTTGGTAATTACGGTGGTCTTCACTAACGCAGTTCTAGTAGTTAAGTTAAAACTCCTCATTTCTGAATATATAGGATGACGAATATTCCATCAGTTTTTCAATTTTTGCTAGCTATTTTAATATTTACTGTACGAAATACAATTATTTGCTCTTTAATTGCTCTTATAATGTAAAAAACGTTATAGAATTTAAATCTCTACCGGGTAAGTGTTTGTTAATAATTATAAAGTAAAAACCCTTAGCCTTTTACTCATTTACAGAAGCAGTACGTATACATGATAACATAGCTTGCCAGCAGGATGGAAAAAGTCGGCATTATATCAGTACTATACCTTTAATGGTTAACTCCTAATATTAGGGTGTGTGTACTTAGCATCCATTGCTCCAGCTGTACTCTTTTCGAGTTTTATAATTCTGTGTACGGCCCGCCGAAAACCACTTTTATTAATACTTTCGGGATGTCTGGGGTAAATAATACTATTTTAAACCTAATTATTTTACTTTCTTTTTATACAGGGTTACAGCAACTGTAATGTTTATGTGGAATGCTTGTTCAGTCACAAGGCTAATGAGTTTAAGGAACTATTTCTTAAATTATTATTTTATCATTCCTTACTGCTTCTCGGCCGTGGCGACTGCATTATCTGTAACGTATGATGGATCTTTGGTAGAGAAACCTTATGCTATTTAATAGATAAATACTTGACTATAAAATACATGACTAATAGTTAATATGTGAAACTCAGAAAGTTCTTACTAGACTACTTTAAAGATTACATGCTTCTAATGGCCACATTGCTGTTCTGTACTATACAAAGTGAAGAGCTTTAAAAGCCGCTCTTCAAAAATTAAGTAGGTGGCAACCTTTAAATTCATTTCTTTCAGTAATTTTCACTATAAAAGAAAGATGTTTAAAGCCAATATTTTTGACTTATTGCAAACATATAAATAAAACTTTGAAAAAAACAAAACACAGAGTAACTAGTAGAAAAACAAATAAAACAAATATGACAATATTTCTAACCAGTTTTGGCCAAATTTATAGCATATAACCGTCTGCATGCTTTAATATAAAAGCTTGTATGACTAGAAGTTTTATAAAGCACATTCTCATTTATCTAAAATAATAGTTGTAACGTTTTCAATAGGGAACCAGCTAATTATTTTTATCACAGTCGCCCAATTTACTGGCCCGGAGACTGTTTATAAGCACTGCGAAATGCTCCCCTACGAGAAAATTCCGGAATTTAGTAACGCACGTGGAAGGCAGCTATAGCTGTAATCCCAGTACAATCCAAATTAATGTAGAACTCTTAAAAAATTAAAATTTGCAAAATTTTAATATAGGAAACATAATACTACACCCTAGCATAGTACATACTAATCTCAGCGATGTTTATACATATTTCCAGGGTGAAGAAACGAGAATTCTATAATTTCTACTATTAAAACTTGTTTTTCCATCACTAGCCGTAGTGCACTAATGAAGTTCAACCCTAAAGATGACTTACATGAAATAGTTACATCTTTAGTTACCGAATAGTTACCAATTTGATTGTAAAAATAATAACTTTAAAGGTCACCTTGCACCTCGACCTTAGAATTTTTTCTTTATGACTTTTCCTGGTGGTCGATCAAGTTAACACCTTCCCGTACCCGAAGTCTCAAGTCGTCTACGAGTGCAAGCAAAATTATTATCTTAACATGTGTGGACTTGGAATTTTTTATTTTTATTGTTAATTATATTTCCTGGGCCTCGAGCGGGTCGTAAAAGAAAACACCGAAATTACCAGCTCTCAACAGGGTGATATTGTACACATTAGCTTTCAGCTTAGGTTAAAACAATCTCATATATATATATGTACTAAAAAAAATGCTGCCCCCAACCTATATATATAGAGCCCATTGCGGTGGTCGGCAGTGGCGTGCGCAGACTCAGATGTGTAGTTGGGCTTATCTGTCAGTAATCTATTGGTAGGATGACTGAGCCGATTGTAGGTGGCGATAACATTGCGTCGAAAAACGTTACCCAGAGGTTGAATCTGGAGTCTTTATACAAGTCATCGTTACTAACAAATCACGGCGCGCCCAACCTAAGGCGTAGCAGCTTGTTTTGTCCCACTTGAAGCGAAGAGACTATTACCGATGAGGTAGGCCCAGGCAGTAGATGCGTACGAAGTGATCGGCGGGGATGCACAACAAATACAAGCGTCATTTGTTATGCAGCAAGAGTTTGCTTCGAGCACAAAGGGTAAAGAGTTTGAATAGCTGCCTTGACTTTCGCCCCGATATAGTTTACGTGCGATCGCCACCAGAGCTAATTGCCAACATGTCCCCAGGTACTTCACCTGAGGAAAACAAAGGATTACCTTATTTTCGAAGGGGAGACGACGCTCATGACATCCCTTAAATTATTAATTAGGTTTGTGCCGGCAACCCTTATTACATATGATAGGCCAAAATTATTACATGTGACCCTCGTTTTCAAACCATAACTCTATATGGCACCTTTGGTTCGTTATTACATGTAGTCCTTGTGTTGTGACCTTTCACAATTATTACATGGGGCCCCTACTTTCCGTTTGACATATTATACTGGTTTTCGTTTTCAGACCATGACCCATATTACACGTGATCCTCATTTATCATGACAAGGGTTGCGTCTATAGCCCTTTTTTTTGATGCTGCCGCTTTCAATATAGTATTATTTAGTTATTTGCGGATCCTTAAGTGTGATAAATACTTCCGTTTTTACTATTTTTTGTTTTATCTTAGCTTACTGACAGTATTCTTTTATTCTATCCCAAATCTACTACCCCATTTACCTTTTTATAAGTATATGTCCACTTTCCAAGTTTATTTAAACATCATTGAGAAACTCAACTTTTTTCTAGTGATTGTTTTTATTAATACCTTTTTTCTTTTACAAGTAGAGTACCCTTTTTCTCTTTTTTATATTATTCTAATTTTTTTTGACCCCCTACCATCTTTCCTCCCCTTTTTACTTTTTTTTGGGACTTTCTATTTTCCAAATAACATTACCTTCAAAAAACTTCAGCTACTATTTTTGTGGATTCTAAGCAACAGATTTATTAGGGACCTCTTTTACCTTTATCTACCTTTTACTTTTTGATTCTTTTGTCTGTTTCTTTCTTTGTTTAATTTAAATTCATTCTATTTATTAACTAATATCCACCCCCCGAAAGACTCAGCTACTATTTTTTTTTTCTTCAACCACCGATATTGGTAGTAAAATAATTGTTGCAAGTTATTTATTATATTTACTTATTTAAAAAAAAACAGAGTTCAGTTGACGTTATTTCTTACTTTTAGAGCTATCTAAGCACTGATGCAGTTAGCATTTCTTTATCTCTATGTTCTTTGCGGTGGGCAACAGCTTAATAAATATTTGAATCTCTTAATAATAAGCTTCTAAACAAATAAAAGCTTTCGACCATTAACCCTGAGTTATTATTAATATAATTTTTTAAACATTGCAGGAGGGGGGAATCCCTTGCACTTCTACTGAGATAACTGGAAAAAAAAAAATTATTTCTTACAATAAACAGGAATCATTAAAGCTTAAAGCTTAAAGGGAGGCTTCTTATAGTTCTACTAGTCTAAACTACGGCGATTATAGTCGGAGTAGATCCAATTTAAAGTTCTGTTTATCAGACATACGGTCTTTTAGATCCTACACACCTTAACTATACAAACAGAAGAGCGTCCTTTGGTTGTCATTAAAATAAATAATTGTTGCTTCCTATGGTCTTTTAACATAAAAGATGTTATTATATTTATTAGTGGCTATAGAGCAGTATAATAAAAAAATAAAGAAAACTAAATAGTACTAATAACTAATTTTTTAAACTGCTTGGTCTTGAACCTTTTAAACAGTTCTAAAGGAGAATTAAAATTATTGACTATATATAATGTACAAAATAATGGAGCTGATAAAATTAAATGTTAATAAAGAAATTTATTACAATTATATATAACAAAAGGTGCTTTTCTACTTACAAAGCAAGTTGTTAAATTTTTAGTAAAAAGATTAAATCGTAGATTATAGAAGAGTCAGCGTTTGGCGCAAACTTTATTAACACTTACAAGTAAAAAAAAAACATATTTTTATGTTTAAAGTCAAAGTTCAAGGAGTAAAAAGAATAAGTAATTTTTAAAAATAATTAACGCAGTACTGCTTAAAGTTACCTTAAGCTCAAGGCTTTTAATAAAAAAAATAATTAAATACTTAAGTGAGAGTAATATATAAGTAAATAGAAATTAGTAACGAAGCAAAACATATAACCTGTAAGGTAAAGTGATACCTATTTCTCCCTAGAGCAACTTGCATGGAAAGACGTCAGTTTACTAAAAATAATACCCTAAAAAAATTGTGTAGGTGCCTTTTAATTTAAGTAACCATGCCAATTATGAGGTTAGTTGGCCCTCAATTTCAAATAAGGCAACTTTGGGTTTACTCTTGTTGACGGGGTTACTAATATTATAAAAAATTCAACCACACCTCACTTAAGATACCTTTCGATAACAAAAAAGACAAAATTTTATATATTGTTGATTTCACAGTCTGATAGCTTCGAGAACTAGAATATTATTAAAAATATATATATAGAAGATAGGAAACTCGAAAGACCAAAAGAAAAACTAGTAATTTATTTGACTATCTTTAACTATCCTAAGATTCTTGCCCTTCCAAGAAGAGCCGAGTAGATGTAGAATATAAAAAAAATCTGGCCAACGCGTGCCAACTCGCTGACAATATGCAAAACCCTCAGGGGAGTAATACTCACATACAGTAATATAAACAAAAATATACTACTAATTTTTAATAACTACTTTTATGTTCTAATTTCTCTTTAGTATAGATGAGTAGAATAACCTACGAATTATGAACCAACATAAGAAAAAAAGTCTTAATGCTACTAGCTTACAATATAACTGAACTTGTCTTTTAGGTAGTCCACCAAACATTTTTATAGTCCACTTTCTATTAGGGTTCCCACTTGCCAAATTAATTAGTTCAGCGCAGAATAAGCTAATCACTATCGAGTAAATTCATTCAGTGAGCATTGAAGCCTTACCCAAGAGGCACCTGAAAAAGTGTCTACTAAGTTGATACAGAACATAATTAGTTGCTATATTATTTTTTTAGCAACTTAGAAATTATTTTATTAAGTAATGCGTTAGTAAAATTGTCAATTTTTATCTAAAACGTACCTTTCAGTGGTATAGTGGCATATATATTTATTATTTCTAGAGAGGATTTAGCCGGCCTTGTAAAGCATATAGTGTGAAACGAAGCTATTTATGGCATACATAGTCGTCGTTCGTAGTAAGGTTTTTAATCGGCCTTTTAAATTTAGTGTCTTATTTAGCTGTATTTAAAATCCAGTAGCTCGCGCTCTAATGCTAATTTGGTGGCGGTAACTTTTATGTATAGCTTTGCGTCTATGGCATACCACAGTAATTTACCAATTTTACGTCTATACATTTTTTTCGAATTCCAGGCGTATATTGTAAGCATACACCATTCTGACAATATATAAGCTGTTGTCCAAGTTGCTTATTATCCCATTTAAAATTACCTTCTATCCTCTGTCCTCAATTGTACCTTTTCTACCTATAATAAACTTCAATCTAAATTCTCTGATAAAAGAGATGTTTTCAATATCTTTCAATTTCTATCAACTGTAAACCCCATTTTGTTAGTAACTGTCTTTAACTTCAGCTTAACCGAGGTGAGGATCCCCTCATTAAACTTTTTTGTATTGTCACACGGTTCATATACTTGTTAAAAATGCAATTTTTAAGTATGTCGATCAAAAATATTTAATTAATGCTTTGTTTTTTTTTTTTTTTTTTTAAAAAAACGCTATAGTGATTAACTAGTAACTTAACAGCTATTTTTCCTAGCCCTCATTTTGTTTTAGTTTAATTGACTATTTTTATTGCCCATATTAAATTTTTAACATTTTGTAATTCTTTCTTAATCATTATTGAACTCTTTCTGAAGTGGTACACAGTTAAAATATTTTGTAAACGCAATTTACGCATGACTTAAAAATACTTTGATAATTAAAAATCGGAACTTCAATTTAAAAAAATTTATTAATTTTTTCGTATGTAGGCATCTTTCTAAGTGTCATTCAAGTTTTAATTAAGATCATTAAAAATAACATATTAACTTTCTGAAGCATTACGACTAGAAAATTTTTATCAATTATAGTTTTCTTTACAAAAAATAGTAGCCAATCTCGGTTTAAAACCAACATTTAGCCCTTGACACATTCACGTAGAAGAAGTGTAAGGCTAGCATGTAACAGCTGTAATAAATTGATAATATCAAAAATATTTTTAAAATATATTTGGTCTAACAAATATTTCAACAAATATTTCATAGGTTAACGCTATTAAGGGTATATAAAAGGCTGAAATACATTGCAACTTGTATAGTTTTTACTCTTTAGTTTGCTTACTTTTCTTTATTAATTACTATCAGTTAATACTACAGTATGCACGTCTTAAAAATTATATCAATATTAGTAAGTTTGACGCTAACATCGTTACAAGACTGCAATTATCTACAGAAAGTGGAGTCGTGCAGAGCCCATAGTTGCACTGAATTGTACGTCAGTTTAACGCATTTATATTTAATTTTTTAAATATATAGTAGCGACAATTTTAAAGTTTTTATTATATGTTATAAGGGACCTCGAGAATTGTTCAGTTACAAATATTTCTGCGGCTGACTTTTACGCTCTTTCCAGTGTAACATATCTGTAAGTTTATTATTAGCACTACACGACAGCTTTAATAATATAAAAAGTTTACTTTACCTCGATATGCATGTAAGCAGCCGAATGGGTTTTTTCCATATCGAGTCGGAAAAAAAACTAAATCCCAATAGTTTTTTGGGAGAATGTAACAATACTATATTTAAGAGATTTAAAATTTTACAAAAACAATTAGTGTATACTTCTAAAATTAGCTGTGTTCACTATTTATATTTTAAAACCTTTATATAATCCAAGATAGTATTCAGTTATCAGTTATTTGATCTAAGTTTACATATATTATCGGTAAAGCATTTCGTAACTGTCATAAGTTGATTTTAATTTATTTATAACCTAACTTTTGCTATTATAGAAATCTCATGGATAATAGCATTACTGTTTTAGAGAAGAATCCTTTTAATCCCTTCAAAAATTTAAAGATATTGTAAGTTTAAAAAAAAAAATTATATTCAATTTTTTTAAAAAAAATAAAAAAGTGAACTGTTGTTAAGCTCCACAAGTCGTCTATGGTTTTCTAATAAATTTCTTTGATAAGTAATAAATAACCTTATGAAGCGCTTATATCCTTCAATAACCTAAAAGAAATTTGAGCTCAAATTCCATTACCTGTATTGAAAACGGAATTTTTCAGGATCTCAAAAAGTTAACAAGCCTGTAAGTTTTTAATACTATTTGGAAAAAATTTCATTGACTTGTTTTTATTTGTTTTAAATCTTAAAATCACATTTTCTTTTAATAATTTGATTGATATGAAAGTATAAATTATAGTTTGTCTTATTGTAAAAACTCTTGTAGAAACTTAGGATGGAACCAGATAACCTACGTTCACGGAGAATTATTCGAAGGGTTATCACGATTAGAGGAGTTGTATGTGTTCCTAATGTGTTTCAATTTTTTTACATATTGATAATGTTATAAATGTCCACATAGATTTTTAAGGAAAACTCACATGACCGCTATAGAGAATGGTTCCTTCAAGGGCCTCAAAAATCTACATAGACTGTACGCCTTTTTGTTTTCGTTATACCTCTGCTCACTTTGTAAAGTTTTATAATCTGCGAAGAGCTAGCATTTTAAAAAGTTTTTTTAACAGCTGTTTAAATTTCTTATAGTTTATCGCCTATTCACCAATCTTGTTAGTTATATTTATTTGAAGATTTTTAGATCTAAACGAACTAACTTTTATTAACAAAGCAATGTTGGAAGGTTTGCAGAATTTAGAGGAATTGTATGTTTTTTTAATTATTTACTTAAAGTGTTTTATAATGGTTGTATGTGCTTAAAGGTCTTTCTGGGAAAATAAAATTACATCGATAGAAGTTGACTCTTTTAGCGAACTTTTTATGCTAACTTCTTTGTGCGTATCATTTCGTTCTAGTAAAAGTGAGGTGTAAATTATAGAACTACTTGATTTTAGAGATTTGAGCTCTAATAGTATCACTGAAATATACGAGGAGACTTTCAGAGGGTTGCCCAACATAAAAACTATGTAATTTTAAAACTTTAGAAAAAGTTCTAAAGAATTTAAAGTATTTGTTAAGCCTGATTGCTACTTTTTCTACAGAGCTCTTTCCATTAATAAACTTCATTCTTTTGCTCCCGAAACTTTTAGAAATTTGTCTTCGCTTGAATACTTGTACATATGAGTTTTTATGAAATTTATCTTCGATGAATACTAATTATCTTGTCATTTGTTATGAAGGGGTTTGAAAAGAAATTCTTTTTCCTCGCTTGATATGAATTTGTTTGAAGACCTAAAAAATTTGAAAAATTTGTATAACTATAAAACTTGATTTCATATGACTTCTAAAGAAAGTAATTTTTTCTAATCAGTTATGTTTCGGATACTCCTATTGGCACTCTGAGCTCAAATGAATTTAAAAAACTAACTTCTCTGACTCAACTGTTCTTATATTATATTTTCATAGTACTTATTATAATATTTACACTACAGACGTTTTTCCTTCTGTCAAATTAATTCTATCGACGAGAAGGCATTTGAAAGCTTAACTAATTTAAAAGCACTGTAAGTTTATGTAGCTGCCTTCATTCTTTAATATAATTTCAGTATTACTTATAATCCTCTATATAGAATTTTATTTAATAACTTTATAACTTCAATTGCCCCTAACACATTTAAGGGACTTTCAGATTTAAAATTATTGTAAGGAACATTATATTATAAATAAATGTTATTATTATACTAAAGAGTACTATAGGTATTTCAACAATAACCCCTTAACCTATATCTCCCCCGACGCTTTTGATGATAATGTGGATCTTAATAACCTGTACACAATTTATATATAATAATTCATAAATTTAAGAATTTATAATTTTTTTTAAATATTGTAAGAATAATTATATTATAATATTATTAAAATTATGTAGAGATTACAAACTTTACTCTGAAAGCAATCTTTTACTTAAAGTTTTTCTATATCCTTCTCTGCTTTGTGGGCGATACACGTCCTTATATAATAGCCTTTAAAATCATGCTTACTTTTGCGTTAATAATTACTAAACAGTATGATAGCGACTGATGCGCAGTTTCCTTGTTGTTCACGCGTGGCCCTTTACAGAAGATTCGGCACTGACTTAATGATGAACGAAGAATGCCAATATTTCGGAAAATTAAGAAGTTACAGTGACGCTCTCGAAGAATTGCTCCATAATTGTGCAGATCAAACTGTATAAAGCAATGCACACCAAAACCTACACTTTTTTGAATAAAATTTTCGTTAACAATATGATCTAATTAGTAATTTTTAAATGGCTTGATACGTACTTCTATAAGATTTCCTTGTTTCAGGATTTATATTATTTAAGTATACCTGACCCTCTAAGATATTTAGAAACTTCTCTGTTCTCGTTAAATAACTTCAGCATGAAAAAATTATATAACATAAGCTAGTCACCAGGCTCTGAGGAACCATTAAAGAGTAGCGATAGGGTTAAGCAATGTCTTAGCCATCAGTAATTCGCGCATAACGAAAAATTTTGCTTCAAGCAGTAACGACCATACCACTAATGTACATGTCAGAAAAAACAAAAATAAAGAGTAAAAATGTGCAAACTGTAAGGATGATCACACTGCTAATTATAGCGGATGCCTTTTCCACCTTTAAAATTCTACAATTCTCTTAGAATTGGGAAAATTAAGTGATTGTCTGATGTGGTTATCTTGCTAACTGAGGCCACCAGTAATCAAATGTTAAAGAGAATAGGGGGATTTATTTAAGAAAAATGACAGCGGAAATGAGTAACGAATGAGACGACTTTAAACCCTAAGGGTTCTATGAAGATAAAAAAGCGCGTCAGAGTAACAAACGAAAAAATCAAAGAATAATAAAACTGTAAAATAGATTATTAGGTACAATTCATTATATAGAAAGTCAAATATATAAAACATGGGAAGAATTAAATAATAAATATGCGTACGAAACTTAGAAGAAAGAAAGTAAGAACTAGAACTGCGCTTCACTATAAGGATTATAACAAGAAGAGGTGCGCACCGATCGCAAGCCTTTTATCTATCAACTTCAGAGTAAGTAAAATTAGATATTCAAGGTAATAACGTGAGATTAATAGTAACAATCGTAACGTGAATCTCACTTAAAAAAAAAAGAAATTTTATTTAGGAATTCGGAAGGCTTGCAAAACAAAAAAAAAACAAATAAATTGGATAATGTTACTTGTATCGAAATAGATGTTATTCTCATTTGGAAAACTCACTTAAAGAAGGTAACAACTTTCCATTACTCTATTACACTGTGATCACATGGCTGCAAAAAAAAAAATTGCAATAATATTAAAAAAAGCCATTTAGCCCACGAAGCTAATATAATCTTCAGGCTTGAAAGTTAAATGGGTTCGCATCAAGCTACAAAGAAATAGCGATGGACTAGTTGTAGACTCCGATTAAAAAGTTAATTAACGAGAATCTAGATAATATATTCAGCTTATCGAGCTCAGTATTATTGGTTGGTGATGGCAATTGCAGACACACTCATCGGAACTGCCGCCGTGCGAAAAGATTTAAAAACTTTTAGCTGTTAGGGCTACTTCAACTGCTTGCCTGGTTCTAGGGCCAGATAATTCGATTCACGATACATAATGTGGCAGCACTAATTTACTCCCATTCTCGAGCCGTCTTCACACCATAATATGAAATCTTATTAAATCGGGAGGCGCCGATTTAACATTATAGGAGAGAAATCAAAATAAACCTAGTTTTTCGCCATCAGAGTCAGATATCAATCAAGTCAACTACTAAGCCCTCTAGGACCTTATCTTGTAAAGCGGAAACAGGAAACTTTAAGTCGACTACATTTTAATGGTCGATAGAAAACTTTCTAAACTTATTATTCCCCAGTAAAACTAATTAGAGTGATATTTTACACAGCATTGAGGCAGTACAGTTGTCGAGAAGGTATCTAACAAAAGACCGTTAAGTGGAGATTTTTTATTATCACGTGTAAAAAAGTATAACGTAATAACTACGAGGAAAATGTTTACTCAAAAGAATAATATGGCGGATAGATTAGTAGAAACACCATCTATACAAGACCATATAGAAATCCTTAATTTGAATAATATGGACACATATATTTGAACAAAAGTAAACAATAGAGAAATAAGCAAGTTAAAAACCTCCCAAATAAAGGTCATTTAAAACATGACAAGAACTATGTTTATCAAATATTATTACACAAATATGGTAATACCAAATCAAATTATCCTTCGCATGAAACTGGAACAACCTGTTAATACAAAGACTGTTAAATTTACGCTGAACAAACGTATATGAAATTACTTTTATAAATTTTTGTAAAGGTTTTAAATAGCTTTATTGCCTTAACTTTCGTTTTTTGTTCCCCTCTCCTCCGTTGTTGGTGCTATTACATTATAAGCACGACAGACTCTTTACCATTAGATCTAAACATGATTTTTAGAGAGCAATAGAACCACAGCTTAATTTATATAAATGCTATACTCTAAACTTTACTTTACGGAACAAAAAATACTAGGAAAAAAAGTAATGAGGTAATTATTAAAATAAACAAATAAAATTTAAAGCATTACAACGTTAACAAATTATTGTAACCTAGTTGAACCTTTCGGGACCCATTTTTAATTTTCTTAACTTCTTCCGCTTCACTTTCTCCTCCTAGGGAGGGGGAGGTTTCGAAGAAGGTAAGGCTTCTAGTATTCTCGAGCTGAGGTCTTAACCTATTGTAATTTTTTTTGGCGGGGGAGGGGTCTATGCTTTATAAACTAAATTAGGATCTACAATTTTTTTGTTTACCACTTATAAAACCTTTATACCAAATTTTAGTAGTCGCTAATTATTAAATTGAGCAGGTCCTTGTCTAAAATCTACTTTTATACTATAACTTACTAGTAACATTGGATATATTGACTTTCTTTATGCGTAAAGGATAAAATTACTTTTGATATTTCGTAAGACTGATAGAATTATTACTCTAAATCTTACCAAGCCAACTGGAAAGCAGAGAATATAAAAGAACAAAATTGATATTCGTAGTATTATTTTAACCTTAAATGACTGCGAAAACACCTTTTTAGGAAATGAATTTCAATAAAGTTTGTATATAGTGATTAATTATTAAAAGTTAATAATAGTTGGTAAATCTTTTAATTGAGCTAGTATACATATATTAAGTCTAACAATTGTTCCTTTTAACAAACAATAAAAGGTTACTTCCGGATATTATTTATATTAAAATATATAACAATATCCGAAGACAGTATAAAAATGACGAACAACTTTTCAAGGACGTATAAATAGCTAATCGGTTAGTGAGTTCAAAGAAGTTATTACATGTTTAAGTTATCCCTCCTTCCGTTTTTAATGTTTCACAATTATAATGAGTGTTATAAAAAATTTAAATAAAAAAAATATACTAATCAAATTCAGAATGGAGTAGACTTGGTAGGCTCTCCCAATGCACATTCAGCGCTAATGTTACTGTAAATGATGTAGGTAAGCCAAATTTATTTACAACGCGGAGGAAGAGAGTGTTTACTACTTTCGTCTCCATGTGGTTGAGCATTATTCTTCAAAATTACTCAATTGTTTAATAATCTGATAGTAACGTTTTATGTTACTTAAGCTTTAATGGGGCTTGGCTACTGTTACCTTCAAGATGTTACCCTATGATCCGTCAATCACGTATAGCAACTACGTTTATTTGGCTTTTTTTATCATGGACCCCTTTTGGATTTTTCTTCGAGTTCACAATTCTATACTGAGGCATTCATCTCATATTGCTTGCTGTTCTATTATCAGGTTTATGATTAATCTTTATACACTTCTTTATTGTCTTTTCCAGACTATTAACGAAACAATAAAATTTTTGAAGCACCTGTTAATTCTAGTGACCCTAGTTTTTTCCATTGCTAGATTTCACATTAGCTATGAAAGATATCAAAAAAAAATACTGGAAAATAAGGAAGTTTATAAGCTCCTTTATCGGCGCGAGCTTAGTATCCTTTTATTTGCTATAAAATTAACAAAATTTAAAGAAAGCTGAAATGATGGCCCTATAATTATTAGCATACTTTTCAGAAAATTAATTGTTAGTTAATTTCGTTCACAATCTTTTTGATGCATCTTAGCTGCTTCAGCATATTTTCTTGGGTAAATTTCTATTTAAAAAGCCTGCCAGCTACAATGAATATTGTAAAAGGTTCTTTTCCCTAATCGTAGCCTGTAATTCTCTTTATATAAAGGCTAAACAGCAGCCATTAAAAAATGCGGAAGTGCGGACAAATTATAAAGTTTTATTATTATATTTCTATGATTTTAAATATGTTGTAAAGGTTTTTTTCAGATAACACCGTCGCTATGGTCATTGGTAAACCTCGGTTACAGGATACACTGTTTTAGCTACAATTTTTGTGGAATAAGCTGTAATTAATTGGTGATAAACTTAATTAAATATTTTGGTTCAACCAAAAAAATTTTTTAATTAATTAATTTTCCTGTAGACAAAAAACCCGGTGCTGAGGAGCCAGGACCATGTTAACATTAGACCTATAGCACATGGCAATCCCCTTGATCAAGAAAGTTGGTACTAGAGTTAAAATTTGATATCTACTAGTTTTATGCATGCTGACCACGCGTGACCAAGGCGCCAGACTATTGTACCATACAGTCATGTACAGTAATAGGATACCTATACATCCTGCTCACTGGGTAGAATTCATGCTACTTTATAACGTTTTTTCTTTTCGGATCACTTTTATTTTTCTTAAAAAAAATCGCCTTGTAACGCTGCAAAATAAATTCTTTTTAAGTGGTGAATGCCTTTATAAGAAGTATTAATGTTAAAATAACTACCATTAATGGAGTCCTGCAGAAACTAATTAAGCCAACCTGCCAGTACTGCCATTAGTTAACAGCGAAAATAAAAGCCGATAATGGCATCAAAGATATAGATTGGGTAGCTTGAATTAAAGGTTTACATAAAGAGAGCAATTATAAATACCTAAATAAATAATACTTGGTGCATATAAATGTAAGCTTCATATAATCTAAATCAGTTTTTGAAGTTGTATACCGTTACTTGATACTTTATGTTGTTGTTTTGTTTGATCTTGCTTTGTTTTATCTTGCACTGTAAGTTTATATAACGGTCCCTGAACAGATAGGAGTCGTTAAACCATTACAGACAAATTATAGATATTCCAGTATTAAAAATTTCACACTTAGTATGCACATGAATTAAAAGTTACTTAGTATTTAAGCCCTCTCTTAGATTATTTTGCCTTGGCCTCTTTCTCCCTCATTTTACTATGCAGTTTTTCCACTTGGTATTAATATAACGCAAATGACTTTAACACAAAGATTATTACTCACTTTACTCTAATTTAAGTTAAAGTTACTGTATTTTAAACGTGAAACTCATCTGGGTTTGTACTACTAGTGCTTTTCCTACGAACAGGCATTTGAGGCGGTCCTACAAAATACACGTTTTGAAGATAACCTGTGCACAGGAGGTTTCTTCATACGGTACCCACTTCTTTGCTCAACGGTTTACTAACTTATTATTTTTATGTACCCAAACTTATCTAACTTTATAAAATATCTCTATTAATTTATTCTTTATAGTTAAAAAATAAAATCATTTACTTTATCTTTTATTAACCTTTTTAAATTGTCGTTATTTAATCTTTTTCGAAAATTCTGAACAAAGAGAACTCACCACTAAATTGTGGTTGCGAACTCAGGTCTAAAAGAGAGTTAAAAAGTTTAAAAGGAAAATTTTACCACACCTGATATAATAAAACATAAAACACTTTAGAGACAAGGAGAACTTTTGGAGGTTATAACATATACAAATACTAATTATTTTCAGAGCTGCAAATTCTAAACAAACCTTTTACATATAATAAGGGACAAATTTGGAAGGCAGTGTTATAAAAGTAGTACTTTTAAGTTACATAAGCATGCTGCAAAAACGCTGCTTAACAGTCCTGATCAACAAAAATTTGCATGCCAGCCCCTTAACATCCGGGACAAATAACGTAAACGGGGAGACCTTCCCGATTGCAGAGCGGTCGAGCTCTCTTCAAATCACCTGCCCTTTTTACTAAAGTTAGGCAAAGGTATGATCTAAACACTGTCATCCACGAGGTGGAATAATTTTACAGCTATTAGCTATTTTTCAACTCAGCTCTGGTTTAACTTTATTAAAAAAAGATAGCAATTAATGGTTTAGAGTGCGTCCTTAGGCCTCCCATGATGTTATGGCAACAGCATCTAGTACCTTATTAGATTAATACGTTTATCTTAAAATTATAAGTCGAGGGTTTAATGTAGTTGACGCCAAAAAGTGTCTACCATAAAATATTAACTTTTTTGAGTTGTAATGAGCAAGCAATTAATAATATTCTCTTCTTCTTTTGCAGATAAATTAAAGTCTTCTTCTTGGAAGGAACGGATTTTGATATATTTTTTATAATAAAGTGCTATCTTTACGCATCTTAATTTTTGTTGTTCCCGGTTATTGTTCTGCGATCTTCTTAATTCTATTTCTAAGAGCTTAAAGCCTTAGTGTCACTTAGTTTCCTTTTTCCTATGATCTAGTTCTACGTTCTTTGCTACCTAGCTTAATGGTGGTTACTTCTATCTAATTTTAGTTACTCTCTATAATTGGCTCCTCGATCACACAATTTTGCCCTTTTTATCTTCATACGACTTTACAACCGACTTGGTTGTAGCATATCATGCCCCCGACGACCAGTTACAATGATTATCGCTTTGGTCGTTAGATGGATTATCTAATAACTTTCAGTCTTCGACGATACGCCTGGCGTTGCTACACAAAGGCGCAACAACAAACTGATACAGCACCGTCTTCAAAGACGCAAAAAAGCTGATCACTCATTAGTATAACCGCTAGAAGGGCTCAACAGTTGAAAGTGTGCGTAGCAGCAGAAGTAACTCTTTGCCGATAATCTCGCTGCTCGGTATGTGTTTCCAATTCAACTATCTTTGTGGACGAAGGCAGGACACTATATGACCCCTCGACTATTAGTGACAGCCTATTAAGCTGAGGACAGCTAAAATAACTGTTAGAGAGCTCCCTCCTTTGAGTAAGAGCTCGTAGTCGAGTAGGCATGGCTAACATTTTAACAGCTAGACTTCTGTTACTTAAAGTTACCTCGCTTAATAGTGGTCTTAGCGGTAATTCACCACTTTAAGTCGAATGACCAAAGTTTGAGTCACATATCTCCACTACTTAACTCCTGGGGACAGTTATGTGACTCCCTTGGGAAGGTAGGCTACCCAGTGCTCAATATTGATAGTGATATATAAGAATTTGCTGTAGAGTTCTTGCCCTAACGCTATAGAAGGTATTCGGCCCCAACGGCTTTTTAATATGTTAAAAAGTGTTGAGTAGTAAGCATGTTTTATCTTGAAAAAGGTACACAGATTATTACATATGTAGTTTCTCAAATTTGCACATCTATTAAATTGGTTACTTACAATTGGTCTTTCTACGTAAAGAAGATAAAAATTAACTTCAAATTTTAATTTAGAACAAAATGAATATAAAGGTTAAATAATATTTACACTTGACCTTATAAGAGAGTAATGTAAATGTGATTAATTATTATAATAAATATTAAAGGTTATTAATAATGAAGTATATATAACAATAATTAAGCTATAACAGTTATTTCTTTACGCGTAAGGTTAAGCCAGTCATTAGCATCATCTAGTAAGGTTCAATTTTTCTAAGTCATATTAAGAAATAAGAGAAAAAAATTTTAGGACAAAAATATTTTAAAAGTAAGCATAACAAAGATTAAAGCTACGTTAGACAAAAAAGCTATTACATTATTAGTTTAGTTGAAATTAATATATAAATTATTTGACTTTTTTGACCAACAACTAACGTGCCAAATTCTTGAACCCTAAAAGTAATCATTTACAAAACCATTATTTTAACTTTGGTATAATGTATAACTTTTATAATTTAAAGTGTAAGTTACTATACTTAATCTAAAACTTTCAAAATCTTTAATTTATAAGTTAGTGTAAATAGTCTAAAGGGCAGAGAGAAAAGGTAGGAAGCTAAACTAAGGCGGTTACATAGTCTTGCCTTAAACATAAAAAGTCTCTAATTAGTTTTTTTGTTTGTTTTTTGTTATTATCTACTGACATACTAAAGCCGAAATGCTGTAATTACTTGTTTGTCTACCATTATCTTCACTAATATTTTATTTTTTTATCTATCTATATATATAGTACTGGCCGACTACAGTCGATATATGCCCAGCACATCTCTACGGTTTACCTTATTACTCCCTTAGACTAAAAGAGATCAGTTAATTTTATCTGATTAAATCTGTTATTATATCTGCTTACCAGCTTATGTGCTTAACATAAGTAGACAACAAAAAAAATTGAGTAAATAAACAAGTAATTTTCATTTCTTTGCGCACATAATTTCCTTTGTTTTTGGCTATAATAATTTTTTTAAGAACAACTTTAAAAAAAAACAAGATAACATTTAAGTGTAATAAAACAGTAACTCTAATTTATAACAGTGTTTAGCTATTATTGCAAGAAATCTAATTGAAAGTAGTAGGAATAAAGTGTGCGAATAATTTATTTGATAAAAATTGTTTTTAATAAGTGATTCCTATATTTTGAGCTTAAGGTTTGTGTAGAAAAAGTCTTGTAACTAACAATTTCCTTATAATAAAATAAGCGTCGAACTGAATATATTATGAACTTAATAAAAAATTCTTCAAGGACTCAAACCGAGGCAAGAGAATGATTCGTATATAGTGCGAGTTCTAAAATTACAATAATCATAATAATTTTAATAATACTAATAAAAAAAGCTCTTTTTTCTAGAAATCTTAAAAAAGTTTTCCAGCGAAGTTAAGCTGAAATGGCATCATTGTCAACGTGGACCGGTTATTTCCTTCCAATACCTTAATAGCAAGAGCTTATAATATTTGTTTATAAAATTTTAGCAACGCCGAAAAGTTTTAAATTTGGGAGTCAACTTAGCATTCTAATTTCAATTGAACTTATGTTGTTATAAGCAAGTATCTTTTTATAAAAAAATAATAATTTATTACTCCAATTTAAAAATGTGCATAGTAGATTAATTTTTTTTAAAAAAAGTATGTCTTTTTCATTGTTATAGAATTTAATATTTAAAAAATTTAGAAAAGGAATATACAAGGGTTGTAGAGTTGGAAGTTCGGAAAAGTCTGTCTATAGCTGTTAGTTTGTTGATTTTAAATCTCTAAATAAGTTATGAATCAGCCATTTCAACAATATATAAAGTGGTAGAAAAAAAAAATACAACGAAGTTAACTGGGGCATACCTATGAAGTCGTAACGGTCAAATACTGTTACCAGGTTATTCGAGATGTCTCCATAATAGTTTTCAGTAGTAAAAAGAATACTAAATTTTATTAACAAGGGCGTTTTTGCCCCTAAAAAGTGATGTAAAGTCGCATTTAAATAAGTTTAGAATACATGAAGAAAAATTAGAATAAAAAAAAGCATACAACTGTTTTAAAGTAAAGCATTGTTTAAAAGTAACAGAGCCAATGGATTCAAATAATTATTGATCAGTTTTCTTAATGTTTAAAGCGTAGAAATAATATCCCTGAAAGCCTAAGACAAAGAGTTTCTTCTATAGATGTTGTTAAGGAATAAAGCTTTTCTAAAATTTCGGAGGGATAGAACTTATGGAATTATGTATTAAACTGTTTTTTATAATATAACATATTATTATCTAATCAAACCTGGAATAAATTAAGTATTTTTTTTAAAAACCAAAAGTGAAAACTTTACTTTTTTAAAAATACCACTTAATAAAAATATACTTTATAAATATTTTTTTAAAATTTGTAAAGTTAAAAAAACATTTTTTTGTAAAGACTAATACCGTAAGACCCTTAAATTACATGCAGATGGCAAAATTTTACAAGTATTTTACGTAAGGTTTGTTAATTCTTCTGCTTGAAGATGGTTAATGTTTAAAGCAGCCAAAATCCTTAAAAATAATAGCAAATTTGATCTTAACTAATTAATTTACTCCAATACTAAAGTGATATATAAAAGAAAACAAAGTTGATATTAAGGTTAAATTTTATTAACCAGTCGCAGATTTTTAACGCTTTACTCTCTATGAAGAAGCTAAATAAGGTTACAAACTTTGAAATAATAAGATTATCTTAAAAATTATGGCAGTTTAACAGTCTATTCTTTAAGCGCATTTTTATGCGCTCTTTAAGATGAACACCTAAAAGCACCAAAATGAATAAATACTAGTAAAGTTCAAATTAAGAACACCTTATTGTAATATTAATAAAAGGAGAAGTGCCGTTATATATACATTACGTTAAGCCACAATTTTAGCCAAAGCTATAATTTAATATTAAGAGATAATTTTACAGGACCAAAATTTTGTTACACTAAAATCTTTTGATTTAATTAGAATCTTGACCGCACAATAATTTTTAGTTATAATATTACATGGCAAAGAAAAACTGGTTACCATTGATATTACGCTGAAAAAAGGTAAAATTAAATACAAATAACATTGTTATTAACTTTGCATGTTTACTCTTTCTCAATATGGGCGATATAAAGTTAATATTCTCGATTAGTAAAAAAAAGTTTGAACTTATATAAGGGAAATTAAATATATACAAATAATGAATTTTCCCCTTTAAGAAATTTAGATTTTTAAATGGGTAGTATAAATACATTAAAAATTGTTTCACCTACTAATTGCGTTTAACAAAACTTTTTAAAGAGAAGGAAAAGTGATATAAATTTTTGTAAGACAAATAACGTATTTAACATTAACTGGTTTTAACACATGTTTTTAAAAGATAAACATAGTAGTTTTAATACTTAAAATATCACTACTCTCTTCATACCATCAACTTTTACTTGGATTTTCTTAAAAATGAAATCATTCAGGAGCCAATAAATGTTTTATAGTAAATTTTTTTGTTACCAAAACGTATCCACGGTTATTTTTTAATTATAATTATATATAGCTAACTAATATTTTTTTAAATAATAATTGTCAAGATTTTAATTCAAGTACTAGTTTAACAAAATTTAACTTGATAAATTAAAAATTATAAGCTAAATGTGATGCATGGGATTGAACCTTACTACTACAGGGAGGTGTACATTACTTTTCCCTTATTTCTGACGGTTGTATAATAAATTAGTTGAGTTATTTAGGTTAATCATTTGTTAGAAATAAAAAGAAATTTCTAATTAAATTTTAAAACTTGTTAACACTTGAGAAAAACTTTAAAATATTATACATTTATAAAACTGTACATTTTATAACTGTAATTACAAGAGATAATTATGTATGTTCTTAGTACTAGCGAATATAAAATGCCTTCCCATAAAACCTAGAAATATTATGTATTTTAATTATTAAATTAAATGTATTAGTTTTTAATTAAAAAGGTTGCTTATCAGATAGCTGACCAGAATTAGTAATTTTAAATATATTTAGGTTAGCTTGTTTTTTATTATTTACAACCTGTCCTTTCTTTTTTTGATCTTAGTATCTAAACACTTTGTCTTAATAAAATGTTCGTACATCTCAATGAGTGTAAGTTAATTAAAATACAATATTAGTGTTTAATAGCTTTTTGTAACTCTTTAAGACAAAATTACTTAGTGTTAGTTTAACAAATGTTTATAAAGTAGAGCTACACAGAATATCCTTATACTGTCTTTGCGCTGAATTTTAACATTAGCCGGTAAAGGAATTCGACTGTACAAATTAATTGCTGCAATAGTAAAGGTACTTAATTTTTAATTATCTAGAGCAAGCAAGTTTAAAATGAGACAAATGAATTAAATTTTCTTACTACGTATAAAACATTAAGGTATAAATAAGCCCTTAAAGGGAATTATTGCATAAACAAAGCAAGCAGTGTCGTAAGCAAGTACTGTTATTAGTAAAATATGAAAATTTACGTTCATACTTCATATGTAATTTTGACCCTTACACTTTTCGCAAAGAAATATTTGCTAGGTTTGCGTCCCCAGTCAGTTAAAATGTATTGTTCAGTGCTTAAACCCAAAGCATACATAAATATAAATTTTTTAATAATGTTCAACTTAAAAAACGTATTATTAAGACTCAAAGGGATTTTATCAAAAATAAAATTATAAAATTATTGTAAATTATTTTATTATAATAATAATAACAACAATAAACTTATGCTAAAATGGTTCCACTATCTAATAATTAGCTTTTTCATATTAGTTAAACACTTGTAGTCATACTGCAAACCTAAAGTCACATATTTATAGAGGTCCGCCTTGTCAACGAGTGGGCATACTGTTAAAGTATAAAACTTAGAGTGTGACGAAATATATAATGGAAAATAGATGCGGATGATTAACTCCTTGTGAGGTTATTTAAGTTTTCTAATTAGCAAGCTGACTCATATATAATTTTCTTTAAAGCACTTGAAACATAAATAACATCGGAGGGTTGATGACACGTATTGAACTATTAATAGGAATCAAACTGGCATCGTTATAGTAACCATAGAAAAAAAATTTGTCAATTGATAATTTACTTAGCAATTTAGAATTATTTAGATTCAATTTAGTAAGGGATACAAACATACAAAATAATCATTTATAACGATAAAAAAACCATCGCATTGCATAGAAATCTATTAATTTAAGTGCATCATAATTTTCTTATTACCTACTATTGTTATTGCACTAATAACAGGATAAAATTAAACGCGCAAGCCGGTTTAAAGTCAGATATAAAAGTTGCGTATGAATAACAATGTTAAAGCTAATTTGATTAATTATAAAAATTTAATAATAAGTCCGTGCGTAAGAAATGTCCTTATAGCCTTAAACAATAAACTCGCTCGAGAGATTATAGCTAGTCAGGTGTGTCTATCAGTAATTAAATAAAAGGGTTCTGGCTCTACCCTTTATATTATCCATAATTTTGGGCTTATAGGGCGGAGTTGAGGCTTAGAACTAGCAGTAGTGATAACTTTTTTAAAAATGCATTTCTGAGATCTACTTCTAAAATTTCAAACTTAAGTAATGTACATAACAAAAATAAAAATTTTATATACAGAAAAGTTTTTATAATCATTTTTTAAAAAAGCCTTTTTTTTACATACTAATAATCTTTTTTCGTAGCGCAAAGGACTCGTGTTACTGCCTTTAATTTATAAAAAAAAATTGCGCTTTACCGTTATTTGTACGCATGGATGGACGTTTGGAGATATACACGACATTCACTAGTAATTGTAGCAGTAGCGAGGACAGCAGTTAACTCGTCAGCATAAGTTTCGAGTGCAGCAACTAACGAGGTAGACCTGTTCTCATTATGACTAACCGTCTACGAGTGTATTCGCTATGGTTTAATCCTTACCCAAATCGAACAAAACTGGAAGGTTGGCCCGACGAAGGCGCGTACAACGTATCATTCATTGCCGGTAGGTACATGTTTCTGAAAACAGCTACTTCGAGTATACAGAGATAGAATAACTGCTAGATGTAGGGTTTGTATTTTCCATAATAAATACTCTACTAATTTAAATCAAGAGAACCATTATTGCAAGCCAAAATTAAAGTAAAGTCCTAATGACCATGATTAATGCAGGGAGTAATTTTTGACTCGTTGTAAAGAGAGTTCTTACAAATCTTTATTCCGTTCTACTTAGTAGAACAGACTAATGCATCAAATTTGCTCGTCTACGCCTTGTGAGTTTTTACTGAGACGATAACATGCACTGGTTGTATTTAATCAAGTATTCCCAAGTTATCCCCCTCCCCTTTTTCGACTGTGCCCAGCAGCGTGTTTTCAAGAATTTAAAAAATATTTATTTATATTAATTATCACTAAACTCAAATAAAGGAATTTAAAAATAAATAAATAAAGAAATAAAACTAGATTTTAATTAAAAAAATTTAACTTGAGGAAGGAAAATCCTTATACAAATTTTTACTTTATTGAAATAAATAACAAAAAATTATAATTATTAAAAAAATTATAAAAGTTCTAAACTAAAATAATATTCATATTAATTACTAGTACTAAACTAGAAAATTACTAACAAAAAAAAATAATAAATTAAGAAAAAACAAAATTTAAATAAAACATTTATTTTCTGCGGACATCTTTCTTGTGGCAATGAAGCATAGTACAAATGCTTGCTTGTAACAGTCAAAGCTATAGTAAAGTTCAATGGGTCTATTTAACGTTGTTTCTAACCACTGTCTGGTATTTCAGAGCACAATGGACGTTGTACAGAGTAGATATTCACCCCAAGGTTAACTACTCGTTTCATGTACTCGCTGGAGCCCGGTAATGTGTTGTAACAACCTCTAGTAGTGTTGAGTAATATTTTAACTGAAAGAACTTGGTAAATTCTAGTACACTGGATTAATAAA